GGGGCCGGGGCCGCTTCTCCCGGCCCTGCCTGCGGGCGCGCCTCTCAGGCCGGCCGCGGTCCTCCCCGTCGGTGGTCGGTGGAGCGAGCAGGATGGGGAGACGGACGGGGGTCCTACGGGCAGCGGTGGGGTCAGGCCGCCCCGACATCTGCCAGTCTGAAGTTAATGATCTGTCTTGAGAAAGGGGGAAAAAGCGGGCCGCTCTGAGAGCTGACCTTGAGTGACCCTGTCTGGCCCTCCCCGAGGGGACAGGCGGCAATGGAGCGCGCAGCGCAGGGACTGGGCGGGGCAGGACGAGAGCACAGTGTCAGTTGGAGGTTCCGTGGGGAGCAACCTGGTTTGTGCCGCCCTAGGGAGCGCTTTCTGCGGGAAAAGGACTGGCCCCATCTTCACCTGGGGGTGGCAGAGGACCCCCCAGCTTCTCCCTGGCCCCCTTATTGTGCCTGCGTAGGCAGGACTGGAGGAGTGTCCTGGGAGGTGGGGTCATGGTGGGGAGGGTGAGGCCAGATGGGAGTCAAGCTTGGGTGGAGGGTTTCCAATGCTGAGACTCCATCCTTGGCCACCTTCCATGTGGTTGGGAAGGAAGCTAGGCACAGGAGCCACACCATGACAGTGCCATCCCAGGTGACAGGATGCCCCTGCAAGGGATGGAGATGGGTACAGGGCTGGGAGGTTAGAAACCCTGAAGTGGGCGGGCAGCGGGGCAGGCTGGAGAGGGGAGTGGCGCTGGTGAAAGGTCACATTTGGACTTGCGGCTGTGTGTTCTAGAAAGGCTGTGCTGAGAGAAGAGGAGCAGAGGGGGGCAGGGAGCCTTTGTCTTCAGCCTCCTGAGTGGAGACAGCGGAAGAGGGGGGGAATGGATTAGGGGACGACTGGCGAGACCAGAGACTGATGGGATTTGGGGTGCAAAAGAGGGAGGCTGAGCCCTAGAGTTCTGGCTTAGGTATCTGGGTAGGTGGGTGGTTTAAGCAAGCCAGGGAACTCAGGGCAAAGCAGGTTTGGAAGAGGACAAGTTCAGTTTTGGACTAGAATCCCCTCCCCACTTGGTGGTGGCAGTGGGGCAGGAGTGGGTGACATTGTTCCCCTGCCTTGCAGGCCTAGTGTCCAGGCCCAGTCTCACTAACGAGCTGCTGCTGTGGGAAAGACCTCCCCATCCTCCACATCCTCTCTCCCCTCCTGCTCCAGACCCTCTGCTGCCCTGCCCACCTCACCAGCAGGAGGGGTCCGTGTTTGTGGGAAGCAACCCCTAAGTCAGCCTCCCCCCACCTCCCTTTACGTGAAAAGGATCAAAGTGAGAAGGTGGAAGTGGCTGTCCCCAGTCCCAGGCCTGAACTCAGGGGCACCCCTCCCGCCTTCCCTCCACATAGTGTCTTCTAGAACTAGGGACAGGCTGCCTTGTGTGTTGATAGCTAGTGGGGTGCCTTCCAGAGCCTACCCCACCCAATTGGGGGCCTCCAGGACCCTCTGCCACAGTGTCAGGCTAGGGGGTGGGAGCAGGGGGAAAGTTGCACCTCCCCGAGCACATTCTCCAAATGTGGGGCCATTTTTGACAGGTGTTGACACTTAGAGCGTAGGGGCTACTCATGCGCTCCCTGAAAAGACTCTCACGCCAGTCCCAGGCACCTTAAAGCTGCCCTCCTGGCATGCGTCTTTCACTCTTCCTGCATTTCAGCCTGCTGGCTTCTGGGCCCTGCCAGCATGACATGTCAGCTCTGCAGGCCATCCCTGGCCAAGACCTTGGCCCAAGACGGGATGGCTGATCCTGACACCCCCTCTTCCCCCATGGCTGGGGACCTTCCCAGAGTCTGGGCAGGCTGCTGACAGGT